ATTGAAATGGCATCTACATTTGCCATTTTGATCTCTGGTTGGGAGGAGATGGCTTCATCCTGAGTGCCTATTATGTGCAGACTGCTGTCCCAGACATCGTGTGGGAAACAGAAATATCTGCTCTATTACCCTCCAGCCTAGTGAGCATGTGGTTTAATAAAGGAAATAAGACACATGTAACTATAATAAAAGTAGGACACATGTATCTGTAATAAAAAGAAACTCTTAACTATAATAAAATATGTGCATCACTATAATTAAAAAACATAGTATGACAGTGCCAAAGGAAAGACTTGGGGATTCGGATATGAAGAGACAATATCCAGCTCCTTCTACATCAGGGCAGATAGGGAGGAGAAAATTTAGGAAAGTCTTCTTGGAGGAGTTGGCCTTTGAGCTCAGAAGGTAGAGCTCCCTATTGGGTAGGGAGATGTATTTTAAGTAGAAGAATCAAGGGGATTAAGTCTGGAAACATATGTGGGCCCAGTGTTCATTGGACCTTGAATGTCAAGCTGAGAAGTTGGGTTTTCACCTGTCACTCAGCCTGGGTCACTCACAGTCACGTTAGTGGATGGCGTGAGGGTGGTAGACCTGCTGAGTTCCCTCTTTATCCGAGAATGCCTTTCATGCTGTACTGGACAGAACAGACATGGTAACAGGAAACTGTAGTGCAAGATAGATGAAGAGATTGTGTCTGAGTGTATAGATGCTATCAGTCCACTTAATGGTTCAGAAATGTTTATGCATTCATCCAAAAAGTTCTAGATGAGATGGTCAAACCATCACCAGAGATTGTGAGCTGGGGAGAGCTAAAGACATGCATGATCATTAAAGGTAAAGGTGGGCAAAGATGATTTTGTTTATTAGCAAGGAGAGAGGGCAGCACTCCAGCTACATGCCAGTGAGCCTGATGTGGAGTGCACACTGGATTTTAAAAAGCACTTGTGATTGGTGAGTTATGAGTCCTGAAAAAAATAAACATTCTCTTCAGAGAATGGTGAGTAGTATGTAGCACATGTCATAGCAGATCAGCCTCATTTTCTTTTCCTTCTTCATTTTCATTTTCTCTCTTTCTATTTTTGATGAGAGGTGATATAATTTTTTTCAGCAACATGTTTGACAAAGTTTTTTTCCCCAATTTTTCAATTATTTTTATATTTTAAATTTTTATTCCTACCCCTCCACACCTTCCCCTTTGACAATTATCATCTTGTTCTTTAAATCTAAGGGTCTGTTTCTGTTTTGTTTGTTTATTTTCAGATTTCACATATGAAAAGATCATATGGTATTTGTCTTTCTCTGTCTGACTTGTTTCACTTCACATAATACCCTCTAGGTCCATTCATGTTGTTGCAAATGTCAAAATTTCATTCTTTTTTATTGTTGAAGAATATTCCATTGTTATCTATCTATCTCTATTATAAAAGAAATCTTGACTAATAGCCAAGATATGGAAGCAACCTAGATGTCATCAATAGATGAATGAATAATACATATGTACATAATATTCTACATCTTCATTATTCATTCATCTATGAATGGATATCTAGGTTGCTTCCATATCTCAGCTATTACTCAAAGTTCCTTTTCTTATGACATTCCTGTGGACAAGATGGGAAATATGCAGTGGCTGCAGGACTCCATGGATGGAGGAGTGCCTGTGTGAACTTTCCCAAAGGATGCTGATAAACAAATGAGGAGCATCCTGGAATTACTTCTCCCTGCCACCAGATGCAGCCACTTCTTCTCTTGTCCTTTGCTGATGACTTTGGTATTAGTGACATGAATGATAATATGGAGGGTGCACTTACCTCTGTGAAGATCGTATGGAAACAGAATGGGCTGCATATATTTCAAATGAAAAATGAATAAGATAGAACAACAGTCCTAGACCAGCAAAAGGAAGGTCAAGGAGTATATTTGTTATGGTCCTACCCATGGGTGCTAAAATCCCATTACGAATTTCTAGGGTTGAGTTAGTGTACTTTAGAATAACTTATACAGTACTTGGCATTTTATTTGTTGATATGACATTAACAGGGTGATTTATATGCCCATGTAGAGGTCACTCTCTTAGATCGCGTGGTATATGTAGTTTTGCTCATGACTTCTGAGAAGAATTCATTTGTTTCTTTCTCTCAGCCTTGACAATTCCAGCCAAAGAGGGCTTTTAGTTTTGTGCTTCTAATTCTGCCCCCAGAGAGTTAGAGATGCCCCTTTCTGTAAATGGCCCATGTCTGTGGAATAGCTTGGTGTCCCTGACTTTCTGGGACACCTGTTTTCCGACCCAGGTTGCACAGTGATTTTTAAACTGCTGCTTATTGATTTGCCTTTTTGTGTTTGTGCCTAAAGGACATGTGTATCTTCAAGAAGGACATTTTTAAATTGAATAAGGAAAGAATCTGAATACAGAAAGGGGGTTTCTTGAGAATCTGCTCTGTGGTCGAGGAACCAAGGCTGGGATCAGAATAACAGCACTTTGGTTAGGCTTGATATTGGGGTCAGGCCTGGGCCTGGGGTACCACTGGCTTGCTGAAGTCAGGCCTGAAAGGAGATATGGAAGGAGAAGAAAATAAGGGTGACAGGGATGATGGGCCTCGAGAGGATCAGGGTTGTGAGTGCAACATGGGAAGAACGGAAGAGCAGTGAGGCAGCAAAACATGTGCACATGTGTGCAGCTGTTTTGTGGACAGGGTTTTGTGGACCTGTATGTGGACAGGGTTTTGTGAACTTGGGAATGACCTAGATCAGGATGCTAATGTGTCTTGGGCAGAGGGGGAGAAGGGTCAAATAAAAAGAAATTGAATTTAAATTTGCTCTTCCTGTTTAGTATGAGCTTTCTCTCCTTTTTTGATTTCTGACAAGAAACCCACTTATAGGAAATGATCTCATTTATGTGAAAAGTACATTCTTATGTTTATATACAAAAGAAAAGAAATGAAAAGAGAACTCTATCAGCTGAGCATTTAGGGATGCCTGTGGCAGGTTGTCAAGCGGAAAATTAAGTTTGGAAGGAGGAAGAGGGATGGAGAGGAGCATGGAGGTAGCTGCAAGGTATTGGTGACTTTTCTGTCCTTTGTGTTTTTTGTTCATTTTATTATTTTGTTTTATAACATATATAGTGTACATGTACACATGCACACATGTCTGAGCTCACATATGTTTGCAGAAATGAGGAGGAAGGCGTGGAAGACTATTGACTTTGAATCCCCATTTGAGCAGTTAGGGATGAAGTGGAACCTTGTTGCTTTTAACTCTCTCATCCATGGCTGAGTAGAATACGTTGATAGTGTGATTAAACAGTGTTAGTGTTGAATCAAATGGTTTACAGATGATCTGTGAGTCCACTTTGATGGAAATTTAAATACTGTGTTGTATATTAAACTTTATAAGGACAGAAATAACATTGATCTTCATAACTCATTCAATCATTTGTTCATCCATATTAAGGGTCTGATGCATATGCTAAGTATTAAAACTATTTTACTAAGTGTCTTGCACATATGAAGTTTCTTTTTAAAGTAAAACTATAGGGTATTATAAAAGTTAATCATAGAAGGGCCTAATCTAGTCTAGTGGATATGGAAGGCTTTCTGGAGAAAGTGGTATTTTTTTTTTTACTGCAAACTGAGAAATACAGAGGATTTACTTGGATGAGGCTGGGGAAGAGTCCACATTCCATTTGGATGGAAGAGTCTGTGCAAAGGTCCTGAGGCAGGGAGGAAGGAAGATGGTACTGTAAAGAATGATGACACTGTGGCTGTAGCCTAGAGTGAGAGGGTGACTAGTGAGGAGGAGGCCAGAAATAGGTATAGGACTGGATCATGCAGGCCTTGCAGGTTGGAATAGAATCCTCCAACTTTTTATTTCAAAAAAATGTCACACCTATTCTAAAGCTGTGGGCACAGTAAAGTGGATCACCTAGATCTTCAAGTTAATTTTGCTATAGCTGCACACTCTCTCTTTCACACAAATATGTGCACACACACATTTTCTCTTTGCTGAATCATTTGAGAGTGAGTTACAGACATGTCATGTTAAGAAGCATATCATGTTCAAAAACATGTATCTTCCAAAACCAAAGACTATCTCTGAGATGATCCCAATACTACTATATATCCAAGAATGTTAATACTGATAAAAACCCTTTGCCTAATATGCAGTCCATATTTTAATCTCTAATTGTCCCAATAATGTACCTTACTAACTTAAAAAAAAAATCCAAGGTCCAGTCGAGGATCATGCACTGCATGGAGATATCTGTTGGCATTTTGGGCCAAGGTTAGGCCAGGTATTTTGTAAAACATATATATGTTTTGAATTTGTCTGATTATTTCCTCATGGTGAAATTCAGGTGGAATATTTATAGCAAGAATACGACCGGGTGCTACGAGGCACGGAGAACTACCTAACTTTGGAACACTGATATCAGTTTCCATTACTGATGATGTTAGATTTGATCATTTAATAAAGGAGGTGGCCACCAGTTTTCTCCATTGTAAAAATAACATTTTTCTTTTGTAAGAAATAAAGTAATCTGAGGTTGTGTAAATATTCTGTTCCTCAACATCTTTCACCCAGGGGTTTTGGTGGCTGTTGGTGTCCCCCACCCAAGATAGTTAATTATGACTCTGGTCAAAATGGGGATTTTTCTAATTATATGATTTTTTTCCTGTATGAGTTGGTAGTCTTCTGTGAAGAAGAGTTTTTCTCCTCTACTCTTTTTAATCAGTATCAGTATGGACTCGTGGATTTCTTAAGTTTGAATTTAAGATTTTATATGTTAATCATCCATTTCTAACATTAATCATTTTGAAATTTCAAATTCCCCATACTTGGCCAGCAGGAATCCCTATCTGAAAGGTTTTTGAGAAACTTATGGATTAAGTTAGTGAAATAATAGTATGAAAGTGATTAATAAATTTGTGTTGACCATGCCCTTTCCTCCTGAGAATCTCTATTTGTTGATCTAACATGATTTTATTTCTATTTCTCTCTAGGTCTCATGGACTAATTGGCTCTTTTTCAGCAGGCCCCTACCAGAGAAATCATCCTGCTATATAATGAAGTTTGGTTTTAAAACTGCCCTGAAAATGATTAAAAGCAGTGTCGAAGTGTGACAGAATCAGGGGGCGACACGCTGCGGAAGAATTTCCTGTTCATCCCATAGCAGCTTGGAGGAAGCCCCTTTCCGTCCAGGAGGACTGCATGGTGAGAAGCCCCCAGTGACAGTGGAAGATGAGTGTCCCATTGGCTCCTAAGAAATCATGTTACACTCAGTTGCAGGACAACAGAAAGGGGGCGAAAAATAATAATGAGAGTCTCCTATCTCTGGGTGATACAAATGCTAATCAAATCATGGTGGAAGTCAGTCCATCTCATGATGAGTCTCAGACATGTGACCTGACAGATGGGACTGGAAATGCAAATTCACGTGCGCCAGAAAATAGTACCCATCTCCATAAAGAATTTCACCAACTTCAGGGCATTGGGAAGGTGTTGCAGGCTGGCTCCAGCAGCCTGAAAGATTTTAAATTCTCTTCGACTGTTCGTGGGGAATTAAATGAAGAGCACACAGTGCAGAGAGGCACAGCTCTCTTGCAGACCTCGTGGAGTATCCAGGGACCAAGTCTGGCAGGCTGGAGGAATGCTATGGGTGAGGCCAGTCCAGATGTTTTGACTCCAAGGGACACTGAAACTCTCCGGCACACTCCCAAGGATAAATTGGCAAAGACCCTTGACAATGAGGAACTGCGAAGGCATGCTTTGGAGAGGGCGAGCAGCTCTGCTGTTGCAGTGGACACGATCACGAAGGAGTGTGCTGGGAGCCTGGCTCCACAGCCTCCACAGACTGCCCCACTGGACTCCCCTGAAGCCCTGGGTCATGTGCCCAAGGGTGGTGAGGGGCCACAGAAGACAGTGACAGCCCACCTCCCAGAGAGAGCTTTTCCTCCAGTGGACATCACCTCAGAGGGAAAGATTGTGTGTCATCCTAAACCATCTACCTCAGAAACCAAGGGGACCACCTGCTTAGCGCTGCAGCTGGAATGGGGATATACACCAGGAGTTAGCGATGAGAACACCCCACGTTCTGCCCATCCACAGTGTGCTCTGACTTCAACATGCAAGGAAGTCCCAAGTAAGCCAGGAGCACACTTAGGTCAGGAAAAGCGGGAGCCTCGGCTGGAGCTGGAATCTATCCCACCCTGGGCCACACAGGAATTAACATCAGCCCGGGCCGAGTGTCTGAGATGTCCCACAGAAGACGGTGTGTTACTCCAAGAGATAAAGGAACCAGGTGGGGAAGCACAGCAAGAAGCCACCACCAGGACAGCCAGCGGTCTGCCCCAGAGCGGCGTCCACCCACTCGGTGGGGCAGGAGGCAGGAGTGTGCAGGACACGAGCATCATCCACATGGGTGAGCAGGGTTCTCTTCAGAGCACCCCCAGACCTGGCCCTGCTTCCTTGCGAGCTGCTGCTAATCAGCCCTCTGGCAGAATTTCTCCAAGCACAACTAGGAAACTGTGTGAAACTTCACTCAGCAGCATTTCGCCAGGTGATGGTCATGTGGTTTTTATTCCTAATGCCCCACCTGACAGCAGGCCCCCAGATATTAGTGAGGAGAAAGGGGTACTGAGCAGTGGGAGCAGGGACAGGGCTACAGATTTTACTTCAGATCCTTCTGTTAGGAAGAGCAAAACTGGGGTCCCCGAGCCCCTTAACCCTCAAAGCAGCAGCTCAGAAGCAGGGGAAAACAAAGAGGTCACTACATGTGTTGTTGAAAATAGGAACCTTCTAGGAAATTCAGTTAAGACTGAAAGTTCCTCAGCAGGAACAGATTGTCTTCCCAGTATCCCAACCCCTGTACAACCAGAGACAACTCTGAATGTGACCCACCAGCCAGCACTACCCAGTACCAGTTTTCAAGACTTGAGTGTGTTGGGTGCAGATGTGGGGTCACCTTCAGCTGCCCCACCTCCCACTGACAGCTTGTGGTTGTTGAACACCTCCCTGGAAGTGCCTGATAAGAACACCTGCCCCAGTGTGATTCCCAAGTCTGTCTCTACACATTCTGAGGATTCACCTTCTGCACAGAAGGGACTGGAGAACCACCAGGTTGAAAAAACAGAAGAAAAGACAGAACCCAAGCCCATCATTTTGCCCAAGCCCAAGCATGTGAGGCCCAAGATCATCACCTACATCAGGAGGAGTCCACAGGCCCTTGGCCAGGTGGACACTTCGCTGGTCCCAGTGGGGCTTCCTTATGCTCCGCCTACATGTAACACGCCTCTTCCCAAAGAGGAGAAGGTGGCAGGAGGTGACCTGAAACCAGCTGCCAGCCTCTACGAGAAGTTCAGGCCAGATTTGCAGAAGCCACGGGTCTTCAGTCCTGGACTGATGGTATCTGGGATCAAACCCCCAGGGCACCACTTCAGTCAAATCAGTGAAAAGTTTTTGCAGGAGGTAAGAGAATGTCAGTCTGATACTATCTATAAGTTGAACACCCTGAACTTTGTCATGTATTTTCAATTAATTGTGAAAACAGAATATTCTCCCTTGCTGATTTTGATGGATATACTTGTACAAAAATGAATGTTTTTAATGGAAAAGAATGTAGACAAATGAACATTTTGACTGGAAAAGTTTGATGATCATAATGAGTTGGATCTACCATCTGAGGACACTCATTTAAATTCCATGTGATATAATACACATGAAGTTAGATAAGCATGCATTTAAATTGGTTTCCATGTTTAAGTGAGAATAATTCTTCTCAGCCAGGTCAATGGGAAAAGAAATCAGAAATAATTACATTGTTCAAATTAGTCAAACTTCATCCTCTGAGGGATATATTTCCTTTATGGGACAATCTCATATTTGCACATGTGAAGAACACAGTATCAAATAATGTGTCAAGCTTGGGCTCTTCAAGTCAAAATAATAATTACAACTAGCATTTAGCTGAGCACCTACTATGCCTTGGGCCCATGTAACATATTTAATCTTTGTCAGTCTTCAACAATCCTTACTGTAATTTCCTGATGGTTAGGACTGCAGTTTTTACCATTGTATAGATGAAACAACAGATGTGGAGAGGCCTCAATACCTCACCTACGGCCAAAGACCAAAATGGCCCTGAAATGCTCTCCTAGGCCTCACTGTGTCCTCATGATTCCCCCTTTCAGTACCTGGGTGCTATGGCGAGTCATCCTCCCAGAGCTTATGAAGAAGACTGGTCTTCTGAGAAGTCTCCTGGCAGGCAGAGTGATGAATTAAAAGGAAAGCTGGCTCAGGTGTCTCCTGTCCCTAACACCCCTCAGGTCTGCCCTGGCCACTCAGACACAGGCTGGAGCCTGCAGGGTGGCTCATGACCTCTGGGCTGCTGCTGCTTCCCCCACTCTTCCTCTCTCCCCCTGCTGTTTAAGCCCTTCGCACCTCCCTGTACTTGGAAAGCTCTTCTCCCAGATATCTGAATGACTGTCTCCTTCACTTTCTTTAGGTCTCTTTCCAAATGTCACTTCATTGGAGAAGCCATCTTTTCCATGAGACCTCTTTCTCTAGTTCTTTTCTTCTTAGCACTTATCTCCCGTGATGTATGTAGTTGTTTTTTTCCCCCCTCTGCCTTAACTAGAATGTGAAATCCATGAGAGTAGGGACTTTTTCTGTCTTTTGTTCTCCGCTGTGACCCCAGAGTTCATAACAGTGCTTGACATAAATGTGTGCTAAAAAAAATGTTGAATGGTATCTGAATTATAAACTCACATATGCTGAATCAAGACAGAAGTCAACCAAAGCTCCCTAGAGATAGAATGATCAAGTCCAAAATTGGACTCTAGCTTGATTGACTGCATTAACATTTTTACAGACTGTATTGATCACTGCAGAAAGCGTCATCTCTCTGGCACAGAGCAAGCAGTCAATCCATTCTCAGCAGCAGATCTTGACTGAGGCCAGCACTGACCAGTTGCCCCACCAGTTGACCGTGTGGCCTGCCATGGTGCCAGCTGTCAGCACTGAATCACACTGCTGGTTCCTATCTTCCAACTCTGTGCTTGCTGGAGAGGCTTCTCCCTCATACCCCTAGAGAGAGGGTACTGGCCCAAGAGGGGTCCAGTATCTTTGTAGGGTCTCACCTCCCTGTACGGGGCTGTGTGGTGTCCTGTCTTAAGTACAGCGAGAGTGTGCCCTGGCCAGAGGAATTTAGAGTCTGTCCGAAGGCAGTGCCATCTGACTAACATGGACAATTTGCCACTCTGGTTTACAGGTCAGTCTCTTAGCTTTGTTAATGTGAGTCTTTCTCAAATGTCCAAAAATGTATCTCCCTGGGCCTCTGAGGCTCAGGGTCAGGTGGTCAGGCTCTGACCCTGGGCTCTTGTCTAAGGTCCCTGGGAGGCAGCCACATGACCCTCCCCTGTGCTGCAGGTACCAGAGCTGGTTAAACAAATGAATGTTTTTCTTCTCAAAGTATCACTGTAGAAGTAACCAAATCATGCAAGATAGAGCCTCCAAATCTGGCACGGCGGAGTATGTCTTGGACAAGCACACCCTGGAAGGTAGTGATACTGAGAGCTCGGCATTAGGCAGGCTTCTTTGTAGCCCCTGGGGACTTCTCCGGTCACCAAGGCAGTGTGTACCTGTTGGGGTGATCCTGCCCTTTACTGTACGTTGTTAATAAACTCACTTTTGTAGCAATAAATTACAAAATCTTACAGAATGAGTTTATTTTCCTCCCAGTGAAATGTAGATTTGTGTAGTATCAGAACTGGAAAGCACCTGAAGGTCATCCGGGTGCACTGTCAACTCGGATATGAAGACACAAGGGCCCCCGAGAAGGTAAGTGATCGGGGATGGGGCAACTGAGAGCGGCCAGCAGGGTCACTGCTGACGCCTCATCCAGGGATGTGAGGTTCATTGACTGAGCTTCTGCTCATTTATCATAGGTCACTGAATGCCCTGGAAAAGAAGAATTTTGTCCTCCTCCCTATGCACAGTACGATGTTCCTCCCACTTTCTACCGCTCTGCCATGCTCCTTAAGCCCCAGTTAGGATTGGGCGCAATGTCCCGTTTACCATCTGCAAAGAGCAGGATCCTGATCGCAAGTCAGAGGTCTTCAGCAAGTGCCATCCACACGCCAGGACCCATAGCAACAGCTGCCAGTCTCTACAATTCTGATCCTGCAGGTAACTGGTCCAACAATGGCTGATTTTTCCTGCTGCACTTTTAAATAGTAACCATATAAAGTGTGGTAACTATCTGAAATATGATGCCTCTCACCCCTTCAGAATCTTTTTCTTTTATTCCATGTGACATTTACCAAAACTCATCTATCTGCAATGGTCACCCTTCATGTCACTTTAAAACTGTTGCTGGTGGAAGTGGGTTTCTTGCAGTGTTATGAGGAAAATTATTTTCAGGGGCCCACAATGGAGGGTGTGGCATGGTGGTAAAATTTATTTGAAGCAAAATCAAAAGGATGCCCCTTCAATGTCCCATCTCTGTCGATCCTGCTGTGGAAAATCAGGGCCAGAAATGGGGTCAATGTCCAGAGATCCTGTGTCATGCCAAGGCTAGTTCAGCCCAGTTTTTCTCATCATCAGCTAGCTTAGCTTGCATTCCTGGCTGCAGTTCATTGCTGTGCTGAGGTATTCAGGCTTCTGCCTGGACCTCATATGTAGAGTCCATGAGGCCACTGGCCATGCAGCTGCTAAGGCCACTTGGTTTGGAGAGAGGATTCACTGGTGCATGGGATGAGTGGTGCTCATGAGCACAAGAGAAAAAGGGGTAGGGGGAGAGAGAGAGAGAGAGGGAGGGAACTCTTTCTTCCCCTGGGATTGTATTAGCTTGGGTTTGGGATGAGTCAGGTGCATTTTCAAAATAGCCAATCAATTTTCTGAGCTTTTGTGGGCTTTTTGGTAGCTCCACCCCCTAGTTAGACTGACAGGCATCTATTATCAAGCACCTCCCCCTGCAGCCCCCAATAATCTGGTATTGGAGGGGGGCAGGGAGGGGTATTAATCCTTTTGGTGGGGAAATGATGCAATCCCGTGGTGTGTGAAGCTGTAGCTTCCTGGTGAAGCAAACAGGCTTATGCTCCCCAGTTTATTAAGCTCAATGTCTAATTCCCTTTGCTCTCTTTATTAATATCTAGTTAGCACTTCCAGTAACAAAATGATGGCACATGTAATCATCTCCTTACTTCTTGTAGTTTCTCCCCTTTGTCTAGTACATACTGGAGATCAGGATTCAGAGACATTTATCTTAAAGGTCCAGATAGTCAATGTTTTAGGCTTTCTGGTCCATGATGGTCTAAGTTATAACTACTTAGCATGGAAGCAGCCACAGGCAAGATGTGAGTGGATGGTGCAGCTGCATGGCAATATAGCTCCATGTACAAAGACAGTGGGCTGGATGTGGCCTGCAGCCTGCAGTTTATCAGAGAGCTCCTCCTACAGTACAGCACTGACCATATCACTCTTTTTTTCATCTATTCACAAATCTTGGACACAAAATGCCCTGCCACCTCTCCTAGCCCTGTCACTGTGCTCTTCAGTGGCAGGCCAGCTCACCTCCTGATGTTTTCTGCACCTCTTTGTTTTCCTCTCCATTCTTTTGCTGTGTGTTTCCTCTAGGTTTGGTGTATTTTTTTATTGTAGAAATAGTACTCACCTATTAAAAATTTGAATATAGAAAAATAGTAAGAAGAAAGTAATAGTACTTATATTTTAGAACCCAGCCAGAGTTAATATTATAGATTTTTTCTTACCATCTGTTTTTAATGTATTTTTCAGTAGCTGAAATAACACTAATGTGAATTTTGTTTTTTTCTATGAATATCATATTGTAGGCATTTTATATGTCATCAGTATTTCATAAATATTTAATGGAAGCATAATATTGTTTGTTTATTTATTCAACAAATTTTGGTATTTACTTTGTGCCAGAAGTTGTAAATTGAGGACTGCAGCAGTGAACAAAACAGAGACTCTTGCCTTCATGGAGCTTATAGTCTAATGTGGGAGTCCCCAACCTCTGGGCCATGGACCAATACTGGTACAGGCCTGTTAGGAACCAGGCCACATAGCACGAGGTGAGCTTGAGTGTAATGCACTTGAAGCATCCTGAAACCATCCCCCCAAAAAGGTTGAGGACTGCTGGTCTCATAGATGAAATTGAAAATAAAAATAAGCACAAAAATATCACTGATGTGTATACCTGAAACTAATGTAATAATGTATGCCAACTGTATTTGAAAAATAAAAACAATGATTCAACAGAAAAATTTAAAAACCTATGGAAATTGGGAAACACCAATATTTAAGGAATAGGCAAAGGAAGAGAGCAAGCAAAAAAGTCTGAAAAGGAATAATCAAGGTAGTAGGAAGAACACTAGAAAAGGAGAAAAAAAGAATTTCAAGATGTTAAATAGTATCCAATGTGATATAAGCTGAAATAAAGGAAGAGAGGGACCCATAGAATTTCATAATTAGGTCATTGTTGACTTTAGGCAATACAGTTTTAGAGGAGCACAAAATAATAACAAAAATAAGCACAACTTATTGGGCACTTACTTACATTTCATGCAAGGCATTTGGTAATTAAAGTATTCTATGCCTCTAAACCTCTCAACCACACTGCCAAGTAGTTATTCTATGATCTAAATGTTATGAAAGAAACTTAGGTGCAGAGAGCCTGAATGGCTTATAACTACATGGATGAATAAAAGTGAAGAAGTAAAGGTTTGAGTCATAATAAAAATATACTTAAAAAGGACAAAATAAGTACACAATTATAAATTGTGATAAATGTTGCCAAAGCAAGGGACATGGTGCTTGAGGAATTGTAACCTGAAGACTTATGTGGATGGGACAGGTGCTTCAGGGGCAGTGTCTCTGAAGTGGGAAAGATGGGTGATTGTGAGAATAATAGCAGAGTTGATGTAACCAATGCCCAATTACCAGCAGTTGGGTTCTACTTCCTTTGTACTATTTTTTAAAAGATTTATTATTTTTAGAGAAAGGATAAGGCAGGGCAAAAGGGAGAGAAACATTGACGTGAGAGAGAAACATCAATCGGTTGCCCCTCAAGTGTGTCCCAACTGGGGACTGAACCCACAGCCCTAGCATGTGCTCTGACTGGGAATCAAACTGGCTACTTTTCACTTTGTAGGACAATACCCAACAAACTGAACCACACCAGTCAGGGCCCTCTGTACTATTGTTAATAATGTTGAAATTTGAATCTTCATGTATACTTATTTGCCTTCTTTCATATTGTTTTCTTAGGATAGATTATTTCAAATGTAATTATTATATAAAGCATATCCAAACTTTTTACAGGCTAATTTTTTTCTTATTTAAAAATCTTTATTGCATTTTTGCCATTACCATTAAGTCCCCTTATACAAACCTCCCCCCAGTAATCACCACACTGTTGTCCATGTCTCTGAGTCGATTTTCCTTTTTGCTCAATTCCTCCACCCCATAACCCTCCCCACTCCCTTAGATGTCATCCTGTTCTTCATCTGTGAGTCTGTCCCCATTATCCTTGTTAGTTCAGTTTGTTCATTAGGTTCCACATATGAGTGAAATCATATGGCATTTGTTTTTCTGTGACTGGCTTATTTCACTTAGCCTAATGTTCTCCAGGTCCATCCATGCTGTTACAAAGGTAATTTTTTTTCCTTTTTTTATGTCTGAGTAGTATTCCATTGGGTAAAGTCCCATAGTTGTTTTATCCAGTCATTTACTGATGGGCACTTGGGCAGCTTCCATATCTTGGTGATTGTAAATAATGCTTCAATGAATAGAGAGGCACTTATGTTCTTTTGAATTATTGTTTTGGGTTCTTTTGGATATATTCCCAAAAGTGGGATTGCAGGCTCAAAAAGCAAGTCCATTTTTAATTTTTTGAGGTATAACCGTACTACTTTCCAGTGGTTTTACCAGTCTATATTCCCACCAACAGTACAAAATGGTTCTTCCCTTTCTCTTCATCCTTGCCAACACATTCCTTTTTTTAACTTTTTTTATTGTTGTTCAAGTACGTTGTCTTCATTTCTCTCCCCAACATCCCCCGTCCCAGTCATCCCTATTTCCCACCCTTGATCCTATCCCCTGTTGCTTTTGTCCATGTGTCCTTTATAGATATTCCTAAAAACCCTTCCCCCCTTTCCCCTCATTATCCTTTCCCACCTTCCCTCCAGTTACTGTCAATTTGTTCTTAATTTCAATGTCTCTGGTTATATTTATATAATGGAATACTGTGCAGCAGAAAGAAAGAAGGAGCCCCTACACTTTGTAACAGTTTGGATGGATCTGGAGAGCATTATGCTAAGTGAAATAAGCCAGGTGGTGAAAGACAAATATCATAGGATCTCACCTATAAGTGGAACCTAGTCAACAAAACAAACAAGCAAACAAAGTCTTTGTGCCTTTGCTTGTTTTTGTTTATTGATTTATTATTTTTTACAGATTTTTAAAACTTTAATTGTTGTTCAAGTACAGTTTTCTCCCATCCCAGCTAACCCCCCCCAAGCCTTCCCCACCTCCCTCCCATTTCCACCACCTCTAGTTTTTGTCTATGTGTTCTTTATATTTGTTCCTGTAAACTCTTCTCCTTTTTCCCTGAAATTCCTTCCCCTTGCCCCTCTGGTCAGCCTGTTCTCTATTTCAGTGTCTTTGGTTTTATTTTGCTTGTTTGTTTTGTTGTTTAGGTTCCTGTTAAAGGTGAGATCATATGGTATTTGTCTTTCACCACCTGGCTTATTTCACTTAGCATAATGCTTTCAAGTTCCATCCATGCTGTTGCAAAGGGTAGGAGCTCTTTCTTCCTTTCTGCTGCATAGAATTCCATTGTGTAAATGTACCATAGTGTTTTGATCCATTCATTTACTGATGGGCACCTAGGTTGCTTCCAGCACTTGGCTACTGTAAATTGTGCTGCTATGAACATTGGGGTGCATAGGTTCTTTTGGATTGGTGTTTCAGGGTTCCTAGGATATAATCCTAGCAGTGTCAAAAGCAGTGACCCAATTGCTGGGTCAAAAGACAGATCTATTTTTAGTTTTCTGAGAAAATTCCATACTGTTTTCCATAGTGGTTGTACCAGTCCGAAATCCTACCAACAGTGCACTAGGGTTCCCTTTCCTCCACAGCCTCTCCAACAGTTGTTGTTTGTTGCT